CAGCTTTCGGCCGCGGAGAGGAGCGGGAGGCACGGCACATCCCCGCTCAGCCCTGCTCTTTCTCAAAGCKCCTGTGATCGGGGATTTTCCCCCTCTCGGAGGTTCCCCTCGCCGGGCCCGAGGAATCCCCGCTCCCTCCAGAGCCATCGCGGCTCCTGGGATCCTCCGGTGCCCTCGGGGCTGAGATCCCTCACCTCGCTGCAGTCGGGGCTTGGGAAGAGGGGTCAGGGCTGCCCTCGCCCCGCTGCCTCCCCCTCCTCCCGGGGTGACAGCAGAGCCTCGGACCTGCCTCAACGAGGGGCGCAAAGCACAGGGGCAGCCGCTCGGGAACTTCCCTGGGCTCTCCCGTCCGAGGGAGGCACAACCGCGCTGGGGAAAACCCAAAAACCGGGAGAGGCAGCGAACCCTCGGTGATTGTCGCTGCCCCGAGGGTCCCTGTGAAGGATGGGGGACCTTGCGCTCCGGGGGAGCCGAGGAACAGCCCAGCAGACACAAAGGAAATACTCCAAGTTACAGGGCAACCCGATACTTAACATAATACATGGCTAAGTAATTCTTTTAGCAGAATCCCGAGCTGAAAAGCTACCGGGCTTTCAAATGTGTGTGTGGACGAACTTACGTATGCGGAGACCAAAGGTGGGAGCTGTTCCCAAATATTTCTACATCTCATTACAGTTTAACTCAGCCCGCTCCCTCCCTGGAAACTGGGAAATGGTACAAAGCGAATATTGAAGTGCTTTGAAAACAGCCAGAGATGTCAAAAGGCGCAGGRAGCGGAGCGGGATTTTGTCCGTGTTTGCTTGGAGAGGGACGCGTTGGTACTAAAATCCCCCCGGTTATTAACTGCAAAAGCAGCACGAAATTTGGGGTGTTTGTGTAAAACCCTCTGTGATTTCGGGCGGGCTCTGTCGGAGCCGGAGCTGCCGCCCGGTGCCCGGAGAGCTCTGCGGGCACAGTCGCCCTTGGGGCCGGTTTTTTCCCGTGTCAGGCATCCCGGTCCTGCTCTGCCCGCACGGCCCGGGCCCGGCGGGGACAGACACCGGTACAAACACCGGTAAACGCAGGGCAGACGAGCAGAAGGGCTCATCTCGCCGTGTTTTCTGGAGTGCCAGGACACAGAAGGTTGAGCCTGGGACTGCCTTGGGCCGTGCCAGCTCCGCCGGCCGGGCCGGGCTCTGCCGCTGAGCCCAGCGCCGGCTTTTCGGGCTTTACGCTGCCTGCAGCTCCCGGGATCCCCCCAGGATGATCCCTGACCCTCTAAGGAGCCGCGCTCAGGGCCAGGCCACCCGCACTGGTGCTCCCGGCATTTGCGGGAAGGATGCTCCAGCTACCCGCTAGCAGGGAATTCTCTTCGTGGGCCAGCTAAACCCTGCTGTGAGGGGRCGTTTTAAAATGTTTCCTTCCAAACAACCCTTTGGGCACCGCAGCGGTGGCTGAGCCGGGTCGGACAGCCGGCAGCTCCCCAGACGGGGATACCTTCCCACCCCAGCGCACTYCCAGCCCGATGGAGCGGCGCAGGAAAGGCTCGCKGTGTATCGTCAGCGATTTTGGCCCCGCTCCAGGCCGATGAGTGAATTTGTGCGTTATTTGCTGGCTGGGCAGGAGCAGCCCGGCGGAGCCTGTTGCATCCCTATGTTTACAGGACGCAACGCCGCGCGTTCGCAAATCTTTGGGAAGACGAGTTAATGGGCTTTAGAATATTATTTATATAATGCTTTTTCGAATGCGAGGGTTTATTCGTTCATTTTTCACGTTTAAAGCAATCTGCTGGCGGATTAAATGGTAAAATCACCGGCTTTGAGATAAGCTCAGACGAATGCCAAGCTGATCCACCGAACGTGTTTACGTCTGATGTGCGTTCGCGATTGCAACTTCAATTTATAATTTCAAAGRGAGCAAATGTGAGAAAGTGACTTATTTTTAGTCAGGGCTAGGAAAGAACCTCAAAACCTGTGCAGATTTGGGGGATGCTGTGAAAGGAACGAATTTCCTCGTACGGCTGGGGCAGAGACGCTGCTCGTTCTCGGAGAGCTTCGTCAGCGGCTCAAGAAATAAATCTGCTCCGTCTTTCGGAATGTGAGAGCTCAGGACAGGTTTTCCACCGCTGTGTGTGACTCCCTTTGTAGGGTTGCAATCTCATATTTCGAGATTTGTAATTCGTAAATCGAAATGTGAGCAAACCGCGCGGCACAGGGACAGACTCTGGAGTGTGAATTTGTTGCCGAATCGGGAAAGAAACCGCAGGATGACTCTGCGATTCCCAAACTTTTCTCCCCAGACGAAAACGCGTTTCAGCGGAAAGGGCGTTTTGACGTGTTTCTGGAAGTTTAGGAGCCCTTTCCAAACGGAGAATTAGGAAAAGGTGGGAAAAAGCGCGAGTTTTCGTTTGGTTCTTCCGAGCGAATTTCCCGGCGCTTGGCAAAGGCTTCTTTCAGAGTAGGGAAGGTGTCCTTCCCCTTCCCACGGGAAAGCGCATTTCCGGGATTGGAGGGACCCGCAGAGACGGACACTGGGTGGGGATGCAGTCACCGCCTTTTGGGAATGGTCCTGGGCGCTGCTACTGCCTTGGGACGGCGGAAAGGCGGCTTCAGGGCCGCCCAAGGCCCCCAGTGTCCCCTGCTTGGCGTGGGAAGCTCCTCAGTGCTTTCCCGGAGGGAGCGGAACGTGGAACCCGGCTCCACTGACACCGGGACGGGAATCAAACCTCGGGGGAAGYGGCGCGGCAGGCGCGTCCTCCCCGCCGCCGCTCCCGTGGGGGATCCTGCCCATGCCAAGGGATGCCCCAAGAGTGGAGAGAAACCCCCCATCATTTCCAGACCAGGTTTAAGCGGCCAAAGCACAGACGGATCCGTGAGGGCTTCAGGAGGGGCGTTCAGAATCACGGAGCTGGAGTGCAGGGCAGGGATTTCTGCCAACTTTTCCCTCCTTCCGGAGGCGAYGGGGGCTCCTGCCGCAGCCGGGAGGAGGGAGTTTTCTTTGGAGGCACCTGGGCGGCAAGGGAGCACCGGAGAAAACACGGGGCTGGGTTTTATGGCGGTGTACCCGTGTGCCGGGGCGATTGCAGAATTCCAGGCCGGCAGCACCGAATCCCCGCCTTTCATCCCGGGCCGCCGACCCTTCCGCAGCGCCCTCCGAGGCCTCCCCGAAGCCGAGGGTTGGCTTTTCTCTCCGAAAAGGAGGCACTGAATGGATGAGATCGCGTCCCTCCATCTCCCACGGGCAGTGGCAGCTCTGCCATCAGGTGCCAGCAGCAGTGTCCAGCCCTGTCCCTGGCGCGGTGGCGGTCTCAGCTCCAGCCTGCTTCTCACGCAGGAAGGGAAAAACAAACAAACAAACAAACAAACCAACCGACACGCAAACCCCAGCGCACCCGCCCCTCCTCGCCCCAGGCCGCCTCCATCAAACACATTTCACTGTCACCAAGGCGGTGTGGGGCGTCCCCCGAGCCGGGGTGGGCTGTGGGGTCAGTGGGGTTGGATGGGTCCGTCCCGTCCGTGCGCAGATGAATGGTCAGCGGGGGCAGTTCATCCCCGATCGAGCTCCGGCCCTATTTACTCTCCTCAGTCTCTTGGGCAGCTCGGGAGTGGCCRGACAGAGGGACAGGAGAACGGGAACGGGGACGGTGCCGCTGCAAGGACGGACCAGCCCGGCGGGCCGTGGGAGCGGCTGCGGCCGGGGTTGATGGCTCTCGGGGATGTCCAGAAAAAGAGCAATTCCCTTCCAATCCCCGTGTGTAGAAGGGACTCAGCCTTTCCCACCTCTCTTCCCGCCGGAGAAGGGGGGTCAGGGGCAGCGCAGGTCCCGCCGGGGAGACAGGARGGACCCGGCCCTGCTTCCTGCTCTGAGCAGCTCCTTGCTTTCCTTGCAGGTCTGGGTGACGCCTGGGGACAGCCGAGCAGGATTGGGCCCTTGGATAACGTGGCCATGGAGCTCGGATCGCACTTGCTTCAGGTAGTGGACGCCTTCCTCCTCCCGTACGCACTGCGCATCGGAAACCTGGGGTTGAGGTGTTGCCTCTCCTCCTCCTCCTCCTCCTCCTCGTTCTCCACTTTCTCATCACCCCCGCACCACGCCAGGAGTCTGGGTGAAGCCTTCACCTCATTCCGGAGCCTCGCCGGGCTGGGAGAGCAGAACACCGAGCCTCCAACCACTTATATTCCCATTATTTAATTTTTTCGTCTTTTATACTTTTATAGTTTGATATTGGCCGAAGCGCTGGAATGGGGGGCTCATCCCCTCCTGCCAGCCCTTAAAGCTTTAATCAGCCGCCCCAAAAGTGCCGGAGATGTCCCCAAGAAGCCCCCGGAGAAGGGACCGGGGACCGGCATTCCCCGCCGGTGATTCGGGAGGGGAAACCTGGGAGGGAGCGCCGGGGTCCCGAGGAGGGGGAAGAGCACCTGGATTGGCTCTCCAATGGGCTTTAGCACCCGAAAATGCCATTATTCACATCCCGGTGATCTGCCCTGGAGTTCCTCTGAATTCTTCCCGCCCAGCAGAGTTTTGGAAGTTGCAGCCGGTGCGAGCGTGCCAGCAAGAGGAGAAAAAAAAGAATTGCGTTTAGCTCATTTTTGAAAAAAATACGTGAACTTAACGCAGCACGGGTTTTCTGGCCTATTTTTTGTCGATTTTAAAGAGCCAGCAAAGCGCAATCGTTTAACGGGAGGGTTTATGGGGGAGGTTAATGCCTGGTCACAGAGCTGGGGCTGTTTTCACTGCTCGTTCGGCTGGGGATAAAAACCTCAACAGAAAAATCTCTGTTCGGGCTCCGCGGCCGCGCTGTCGCCGGGAGGATTTGCCCACTCCGCTGTCCCCTCAGCCGGGGGGTGAGATGTCGCGGTCCCCAAGCTTCAGCGGCCGGGGAGGTGAGGTGGGAAAGCTGTGCCAGCTCCCCCGAGCTTTGGAATGACGAGCGCAGTCATTTATTTGCTCCCATGGAACATCCCCGCTTCTCCTGGGGGAAAAAAGGACAGATTTTGGGAGGCTGATTTGGAAAGGGAGGCTCTGACCGCATCCAGGCAATGCCAGAGCKCAAAATTATCCCCTGGGAAGGCATTTCCAGACTTGACAATTATTTTTTTAGGCAGCCGATGTCATCTCAGCTATTTCAGAGTCCCGAGCCCACCTAGAAAATTCCAATCCAGCTCTGTGTAATGCTCTATATGCATAATATAATAAATAAATTACAATACATGCCCGGTCATACAAATCATTGTTACATTCGCTCCTCCTCCTCCTCCCTGTTGGCTGGTCCCCGTTTTGTTTGGCATTAATTGAATTTACACAAAATTAAATGCTGACCACCTGTAACAGTCATTTTACAGTTCAGTTATTCCTGAATGAAAAAAGCTGAACGTTTTAATAAACACCCATTTACTGCAATTTTTTTTTTTTAAATTTTTAAGGCTTCTCAGGCTGAAGATTTACATGTAAGTTTTCAGCTCCAATTGGCTTTTCTGTACATGGAATTTTGGGATGTGTTGCTCCACATGATGCAGTATCAGCAGCTTTGACATGGGTTTAGTTGTGATATTGGGAAAAGGAATTGCAGAACAACAGTGTTTAAAAACAATGCTAAGGTGTAATAATTMATTTCCCATTATAATATTTCCACAAAATTTAATGTATGCTTAAAAAAGAAAAAGCAAAGAGTAATCTGGTTTCAATTATATGCTGTAGAGTCATTAGTAGGCCAGAGAATAATTTRGAATATTTTCAAGTATTTTGGTGTGGCATTGTAGGTGCACGAAGCAGACAGKATTTTATTGCTTCTCTTCTGGTTCAGTGACATTAAATGGATTAAAACAGGTGGTTTTTTAACCAAAGTACTGTAAAAACTGTTTCTCTCTTCCAAATATATTGTCCAGTGATGTTCACATGTGTGAATATTCCCTGAGATTCACAGGCTGTGTGTGGATCAAAGCTTTCTACACTGGGGAGACACAATGGAGACTTTTTGATATCAGATACTTTGGAAAAAATGCCTGAAATTGGGCACTGAAAAGTCAAGGACCGCCAAACTGAGAGGTTTTGTGCCCAAATCATGGCCAGTTTTGGCTAAGCTTTACCACATTCYTTTTTTTCTCATATAAATAATTCCTGACTAAATCAAACTTGAGTTTTTACTCACATAAGTAATATTTGCCTCCCAGCCAATATCCCCTCAAGAAGAATTTGTAGGATTGGATCTCAGCTTTACATCGGTTGAGGTTTGCAGATTGCAAGGATAACAAGCACAAACATCTCCCTTAAAGCGAGATAAAGTTTTGAATGCTGACTTATTCTGCTTTTTKGGGGGGGAAATTCCCATAGTTACAGAGCAGAGAGCCCTCTRTTCAGAAATCCATTATTGAAAATAMAGCCCAATTTAAACACTGCTTATGGTGCCATTAAATATATTGCAAATAGCAGTGAGCTGGCTCTGCCATAAAAAATGGCTCAGGCAGGGCCTGACTTCCCCCTGAGCGCCGCAGAGCTCAGGATTTGGGCTAGGCACTAAAAAAAGCCTGAATCAACAGCAAAACATTCTGTGAAAGTGGAGCAGCAAAGCTGCATCTGCAGGGGAATGAGGAGGATTTGACACTCCCCCTGAGTTTGAGGGATCAGCATCAGATAAACGTTTCTATCCCTTAAATTTTGCTGTTTTCTGCTGAAGTCAGACAGAAATAATCCTCAAAAATACTTTTTTTTTCCACGATAAATGGTCTAAACAGATTTCTCCCTTTTCATCCTGTGCATTTCTCTTTATTTCAGACTCTGGATGGCTTTGTTTTCGTCGTGGCGTCCGATGGCAAAATAATGTACATTTCCGAAACGGCGTCTGTGCACCTCGGCTTGTCTCAGGTACGGGGTATTCACTCCGAAATCTAAAACACGAATAAAATAAAGCTGCTAAATGCAAATTTGGAACCTCACACCGGGACTTTGATTTTCTATAATGTCATTTTTGTCAGAGCTGTTTGAAGCTTTGGCTTTTTTCCTCTCCTGAAAGCGACCTGGGTAAAACTCAAATTTCCTTCGCTTCCCACCACGTCAGGCCCGCCTTAATATCTGCGCTTGTTCATTGTATTTTACTGCTCATTACCTTTTAGCAGGGCCATAAATAATATGATATTGCAAATTGCAGATCTGCACAGAGCCTGAAACCCAAGGCCAGAGCCGGCGCGGTAACGCAATAGGGCTGAAATAAAGCCCCGAATCCGGCTCTGGGAGCTCGAGATTGTGTGAGATATTGAGGCTGCCTATGAAAGGGAGAGGAAATCTGATGTGGAACATGAGTTTTATGGTAAATGTGCTTGAGGAGGGGAAAGGGAAAAAAAAAAAAAAGAGGAAAAGGGGGGCAGATTTATGAGTGTTCACATGGAATTCAGGGTAGTTTTTCCTGAGTTTTTCCAGCTCAGTGGTCTTTTCAGTAAAGCATTTTATATGGTTGTGATAGAACTCATAAAACTCGGTTTACTACTGTTCTGCACCAGAAGTATGAGGGGGGGGTTTGTTGGTTTTTTTTTTCTTAGATGGACATTTCTGATTTTTTTTTCTTTTTTTTTGCCTTCTTAGGATAGGCATGAGGGCAAAGAGCATGAAATGATTGTAGAATGCAGCTTTCTGTGCCTTCATCTTAAACTGAAATTCGTTGGTAGCACCTGAGCTGAAGTTTGCCAAAGCCCTGTAGAAAAAAATTTCTTATTAATTTCAGCAGGCCCTGGATGAGACCTGCACCAAGTTTTGTACCAAACACTTATAAATAAATAAAGTGAAATAAAGACTAAGCAGCAGGGGGGAGAAGAATGAGGAGACGAAGGTGAGAGGGAGGAGAATATTCTGAAAATATCAGCTTCATTTGGCTGTTACAGGAAACAGGGAGGGGACTTTATTGGTGGGGATTAAATGTATACTTTAATTTTGATAATAATTAATATTTTTAATTGAAAAAATGAAGTGAAGTTCTTTGGATGTGTGTTCATAACAGCAATATTAGCATTAGTGGCTATGACAGAAAATAGAACCCAAGGGCTAGAGAAAATAAAAATATAAACCCATAAACACCATTGTTAAGCCCCTCTCCTCTCATATCTTTAAAAAAATCATTTTGAGGATCAAGAACCTCCATAGATTTGTTTTCTGCCAACTTTTAAAAATATGACCTGAAAACTTCCCGAGTTCAGTTTGTTCCATTTACTCTGTCTTCGTATAACATTAATGTTTAATACCACCTAATTAATGTTTAAATTCCTTCAAATTCCTTTAGTTTTAAAACAAACTTTCCTACAGAATGGCYGTATTTTCTACTCCTTTTTCACCCTGGGTTTCTCTCACTGAAAATTTTTACAAGGATGCATCCGGCTGCTGGAATCCATTCATTCTATCTGTGCAGTTATCCCAAAGCACTGAGCATTCCCATCCATCCATCCCAGAATAGAAATTCCCCCTCCCTGTGTTGTTTGCTCCCTGATCTTCCAGGTTTTGCCCCAAAATTGTTCTTTTGGAGRAATACCCAGCCACCAGATCTTGTAGGTCTCAGTGCTATCCAGCCATTTGGGGCAATTCAAGACTTGTAGGGTCAGTGGGATGCTGAACAGACTCTGGAGAGGAATTGGGAGTGCCCCACTGGGCACTGCTGAAATAAAAAAGGATTTTTTTTTCTATAGGGCTTKGGCAAACTTCAGCTCAGATGCTACCAACAATTTCAGYTTAGGACGAAGGCACAGAAAGCTGCAATCTACAATAAATTCAGGCTCTTTGCCCTCATGCCTATCCCAAGAGGGCAAAATCCCATTTATCCCTTGTGATCACCTGCCTGGAGTGAATCTCACGTGCGTGGAAACATCCACAAACCCTCAGTGCAGGAGGTGCTGATAAAACCCAGAGGGTTTGGTCCTGCTGCTTTTTGAAGGGAGTGCAATCAGCAAAATCCCAAATCTTCCCCTTCAGCAGGGGTTGGTAAAYAAATAACTTAGAAAGTTGTTTGAAATTTCAGGCTGTGTTTTCAATTCTCAGAACCCAGAATTTCCTAGTGCTCAGGGGTTTATTTATAAATAAAACCCAGTTAAATAGGGAGTGAGTCCCACTGATTTATTTATCACCAATCTGTTCTTGTTCTGCCTCAATATTCTATTTTTGAAGGGATAATTTTGCTTCACCAGGCAGCACCAGCGCTAATATTGGGCTGAACCCATTAACCCTGGGATATTCCTGTCAGCTTCCCAACCCTCTCAAGGAGTTCTTGTTCCCACTCCTCTGCAAATCACTGGGATTTTTGCCTCTGACAGCAACAAGAATGGGATTGGTCAGGAGAAGGAAATTCCCCCGGCCATAATTCCACATTTCATTTCCAACAAGTGCTTTGCCAGAGCTGCAGCCAACACAAGCTGAGAGCAGAGTGGTGCTGATGGCAGAAAATCTCCTCCAGTGGGCACAGAAAGGCCTTTTTATTAAATAATTCGACAATTAACTAGGCCACACGTCCGTTTCCAGTTCAAGKGCCATTTGTTTCGAAATATATATTTTAAGTGGATAAAAAAGCCATTTAAAAATATTTTTGCAGGGTATTTTTGGAGACCTGCTACAGTGGCCTTTATCTTCTGGTAGGTCCTGAATTTAATTTCAGGAAAAAATTTGAGCTGGAGAAAAAGCTGGGGTGGTTAAACCAGTCATAAATTTAAACCAGCACTAAGGATCGTTTTTAAGCACGGCTTTGCTCAGTTCTTCCTGTCTAGAAATTGAATTTCTGACAATCTCCATCTTCATTTGTGGCCCGGTCACTTCACTTGTGGCTTTGGAGGTTGATTTGCTCCCAACTCCCAGTAAAAATTATAAATTCTGGTGCAGGACCCTCTCCTCCTCYTCATTCCAGCTGGCCCCAGAACAGTGATGAACTGGTTTGTACTGGCTGGGATGGCCAATTTCTTACCTCTTTTTTTCCTCTTACCTTTTTTTTCTTTGGGTAATAAAAATTTTCGAATTCCCCAAATACTTTTTTCCCCTAGGAACCCAAAGGCACAAAAAGGAGAGGAAAATCCTCTTGTGAAACRATGGGGAAAGACACATCTTGGTTTAAAAACACATTTTGGTTTTAAGACACATTTTAATTTTAAGACACATTTTGATTTTAAAACACATTTTAATTTTGTTTGGAAGGCCTGGAGTTTATTCCAGCTGTTTTCTTGAAGCCAAGCTTATCTTTGATTATCTCAAAACATTTCACCGCAAACATCCGAACTCTTCCACGAGTTTATTTTGCATTCATCAAACAAGTTTTTGAGAGGCAAAATATGTAATTATTCACTCTAGAGTCCACCTACTTAGTCCTGTGTGTTTATTATGAAAAAACATAAATTCAGAGTTYCCCATAAAGGCCCTGTTAGTAGGAAATGGTGATATTTGGTAGTAAGCAGGTATTTGCAGCTATTAAAAACTGCCTCAAGGAAGCTGCTTTCATAACCTGAGGCACAGCATTTTAGCTCAAGGAATCGAACCATATAATTTATTATTTTTTTTCCATGTTTTCAGTGTTTCATTGTGGGTTTTAAAGGAGCTCTGCCTAGCCGGAGGCCATGGAGAGGTTCCAAATTATGATCTATATTTTGGTTATTTGATTCTGGCATTGCCCCCATCTCCTTGCTGGTGGCTTTATGTCTGAAAGTCAATTTTTAAAGTAAATTTTTAAAGTATTTTTTAAAGGTAATTTTTAAAGTCCATTTTAAAAAAGTCTATTTTTAAAGTCCATTTTTAACATAAATTTTAAAAATAAATTTTAAAAGTCCATTTTTAAAGTCCATTTTAATGTAAATTTTTAAAGTAAATTTCTAAAGTGAATTTTTAAAGTCCATTTTAAATGTCAATTTTTAAAGTCTGTTTTTAAAGTCCATTTTTAAAGTCTGTTTAGGGGTCAGCTTTGCACCTCCACCTCCTGCTGGTTATGTTGGGGTTGCAAATAAACCCGTAAGGATTGAAACCTTTTCTGTGTTTATAAAAAAGGAAAACCAGGCATTGTTTCACAAAGAATTTTAGGCTTGAGCTTTAGACATAAATCCTGGGATAAAAAGGCATTTGGGATAAAACTGTGACCTCRGGGCTGTGAATGCTGTGAAAAAATGTGCATTTCCATGAGGTATCATTCTAAAATAGGTGATGAGTTTGGGAAAAGCAGGAGATACCCCTGAGTTACACTTTTTAACAGATAACATCAACTCCAGTTGAKGAGGCTGGTCACCTTAATCAGTTTATTTTATGTAAGAATAAACTGTATCAGTTTATTCTATATTGAAGGGAGAGATTGTTTACACACAACCACCCATTAATACTTTTCTTTTTTTGGAAGATAAATTCTCTSATAAAAATGTTTTAATTTTGAGGGCAAAATATTCAGGGAAAAGAAATCACTCTTAACCAAATATAAAGTAATATAAACAAGGTTGTAAGTGAAGCTCCTTTTGGTTTGAACAACGAGCACAGAATGACAATTTTGTCACATTCTGAAAATGAAATGTCCATCACCAGCAGAATTTTTAGATTTTTTTTATTTAGGGGATTGTGATATTTATGAAGATACCTGTGGACATTTGCAGGATGCATCTCCCCTTGTAATTTATAAATAAACAGAAGCATTGCCAGACATGACTCACAGTCAGATTTTGTATTTTCCTTCCTCCCTGACAAAAAAAAATGATTTGGGGTGTTCCTGCAACAAGTCCCCACCTGTTTCTGTCCTGAAAAGCAGCAGCCAGGGCTTTTCAAAAAGAACTTCGTGAGGAAATTTTATAAATGGAGCAATGTAAATAATCTTCTTCCCTTCCCTTCCCTTCCCTTCCCTTCCCTTCCCTTCCCTTCCCTTCCCTTCCCTTCCCTT